AATTGTCAACATATACATCTATCATCTGAGAAGGTAAACCAAGACTAAAAATCAACTTCTGTATTTCATAGTATGTTGCCACTGCCAAGTTATCCTCCGGTAGATACTCTTTCAGAAGATCAGCCCAATCATCCATGCAAACCTCAGCCAGGTTATGATCTGTTTTAATTGACATCATCCTGGCTGCCAACGATAATTTAGACAGGCCTTCTATACATCCTTCGTAGATTGGCTGATTAGCATTGTCTAACAAATCATAAAATCGTTTGGCATCTACATTAGGTTCCTCAACAGCATTACCAGTATGCGTTTCATGAAATGCATCAGCACCATCTCATGCATCCTATCATGATCTACACTTTGATCAGATTGATACTGATTAGGCTGATGACCATAATTCGATTCATCAAAATCAACATGACTTTGATAATTACTACTACTACCAGGATTCCCATGAGTATTACTGCCATATCTTTCTCCATGTAGATACCAAACAAAATATTGCGGCATAAACCCTCTGTTTAATAAATGCGTCCACACGGTTTTTGTTAGTGTATACCTCGTATTCTTGTATTTCAAACAAGGACAAAACATCTTCCCGCTATCTTTCGTTCTCTCCATATTTGTAGCCTGATACATAAATATTTCTAACCCGTTCTTGAACTCTTCTGTCAACGCCCCATCTGAATCTTTACGCATATACATCCAGCTTCTTAGCTCGTATATAGACATCTTGAAATAAACTCAAAATACTATCTCTTTTTATTGATTAGACAATAAATGAGCTGGTCTCTTGTGTCACGTCTAGCCACGTGAATGGAGTAACCTTTTAATATTATTACTTCTTTTTTTCAAAGTAATTAACTACTAATTCGGGTTTTCAGCAATGGACAACCCAATATATCAGGATTTACAACACTATACTAAAATTTAAGAGACCTACAATGGGTCTCCATGATGATGATGCTCTTATGTTTGAATGATGATGTGTTGTGATTGAAAGAAGGAATGAAGATCTATTTATAGGAAAATTTCGGGCTTTACGACGCTTTTACGATGACTTTTTACGACGATTTTACATTCAACAATAATATTACGACGATTTTACGTCGATTATGCGATAAAATCTTTCATCTACATTAGTTAGGTAAATATGTTTTAAATGTTCTTCACCTAACTTCTTTGTCAATGTAAAATCGTCGTACCGTTTACATCGAAAACCAGTCGTCGTATATTCGTCGTAATTTTACATCTAATTTATGACGATTTTGCAATTAATATCAAATCTCTCGTTATCGATGTATATTCGTCGTAATTCGTTGTAAATTGTACGTTGAAGTTACGACGATTTTTTTGTACGACGGTTTTTTAATTTGACGTAACATCGTCGTACAATCGTTGTAAGTTTGCGACGATTTTTAAACCGTCGTAATGGACCGTTGGAAAACGATTGTTTTCTTGTAGTGTTAACATTAGGTAGAGTCGGTCCAGCTAAGTTACTCTCTCTCTTAATCTTAACAACCTGTCTTGCTTCTGCTAAAGGAAACCATTGTTTGATTAATCTAAAGCAAATTCAACACGACAAAACCAGTTAGTTTTCAAAATGACAAACAAAAATTAGCCATACTACTTGTGTTGGAGCACATAATCATTTGTTCCCTCTGGCTTTTTGACAGAAAAAAACTTTGAATAACATGTATCACAGTTTCTATTCAACAATAAAGATCAGACGGCCAAAAGTATTACATATATTTTAGAACATAAGTAGTGAATGAGAAGAAGAACACGAAACAGGTTTTGGTCAGTTTTGTTACATATTTAATATCCACCACTATTATATATGCATGCAAGAGGCTTTTGTAGAAGAAGAAACAGCCTTGGCACCAATGCACAGAAGATGAAACTCATATTCTAATTATACAAAATCTTTTTCTGAGACTTTATTAATGGAGCGTTCGAATAATTTTAAAAGAGTTGTTCATAATTTAAGTATATATAGATACTACAGAATCCAGCAAACCCGCCTCAGGCGATCACGTATTTTCACTTAAATTATGAAATATTTGCTTCTAATGTACCTTACATATGGCGTTGCTCCTCCTCTATTTCGGCTTCAGAGTATTTTTATTCTGCTAGATCAAGACCCATATGAATATACAGAAGCAATGCATGAGATATACATACATAAATACATACATAGAGACCAAACTCACATGGCTTTCTATAAATTTCTAGATGGGTTGGTTGGAGATTTTGTCATAAATTCTTCCTTGATGTTCGTAAATCGGCAGCAGATCAAGGCTCTATTTCATCCCTGATCTTTGTCCGAAGGATTAGCACCTTATTGTCTACTACTTACTCTCTTACAGAAAAAAGTTCATGATTAGTCGAACATGGCATTACAGTTACATAAGTAAATCTTCTGCTCAACAAATAACAAATATTCAACTCCAAAAGTTGAGCACCGCAAGAAAGCAAGGAGCTGAGATTTTTTTCATGAATTAGACGACTCATGGAACAGCTCTTATATTAATCATTCAAAATTCATCTTGTTTATTTGTTAGATATGATTCTTACCTCCTCTTGCAAAAATACTAAAAATGAATATTTGAAAAACAACTGCAATCAGACTCATATTATTCAGAACACAACTTTTTAATTAGTTTACACTGTTAGGATGAGCCTAGATGAGGCTGATAAACTACCATATAAGTCTGAATAAGAGAGCTTCATAAACAGTCATTAAAATGCTCTGAATATCAAATTTTAGAAGAGGTTTAGAGAATTCAACAAAACCCAAAACACAGAAAGGTTTCGAGGACAAGATGCACCTGAGTTTGCTATTAAACTTGAATCTGCATGGACCAGGAAGAGCATTTAGTCGTCAAACATTCATGGGAGTGTCTAAATTCAAAAATATTATTTGGTGATGACATTTCTTACGATAATGGTGAAACTAATTTGAAAAAGATGTAAGAACACTTACTTGAGTTTAGTTTTCTTCTATCAGATGGTGGGTGAAACGGATCTTCATGTTGGATCCCTCAGTGTTCATGTGTAAAATTCCTTCGCCGGCCACAAATTTAGCCATCAAATCTACACTAATAACAAATTAGAAAAGAGGCGTCGTTTATATCAGGGAGAGAAGAGAACTCAGAAAGTCTTCAATGACATTGTGGGGAAAGAATGTGAAAAGAATGTGAAGAGACTTTTGATAGGAGGATGAATGCATTGGTAGTTTTTTTTTGTTTAATCAGTTTGCTAAATTTGCTGACAAGGCAAAAATATAAAGTTTTTTAAATAGCTGAGGTGGACACTCACAGGAGTCTCAAATAGCTCCTTATATATAGTGGGTCTGATTGTTGGCATCAACTGCTCAGTTGGGACGGGTTGTTGGAAAAATGCTACCAATCAACAAGGTCGGTTGAAGAAACCGTTTAAAACCTCGGTTATATTCAGTGTTTGAAATGGACGGGTGAAGGATGATTCGGGCGGTTAGATGTTAATTTTCGGACGATTACAAACTGCTAAAAAAATGGGCGTTTGGAGCAAACGAGCGGTTGTAACCAAAATTTTTTTTTTAATAATTTGTCTGATTGGTAGCATTTAGGGGGCGGTTAGTAAGGACGGTTGAAAACATGCTACCAATCAGCAACGTCGGTTGGAGAAAGCATTTAAAACCATGGTTGTAATCAGCGTTTAAAACAGGCAGTTGAAAAAAGATTCAGCGGTTGGAGGTTAATTTTTGGGCGGTTACAAACTGTAAAAAAATAGGCGTTTAGAGAAAACGAGCGGTTGTAACCAGAGCTTTTTTTGTAATAATAAAATTTGTGGTTTGATAATAATTTTTATTAAAAAACTAGTAAAATTATTTGTTCTTTTTGTATGTATATGTGTGTGTTAGGTTTTTTTTTTTCATTCAATTCACTTCACTCAACAAAAAAAAAAAATACTTCTTTATGAAAAATTGGTTATGCATTTAAAGTTATTAAAAATAATTATCATCTTTGATATTTAAAAAAAAAACCTAAAATTTATTATGTGTAACTTCTTAAAAAAAATGTTGTGCATGCATTCATATCCATCGACAAAAGGATAAAAACTGGTTGTGAATTTCAAATTTATCAAAACTTTGTCATAATAGAATTTTAACTATGTGTTATTGTATTATTTTATAAATAATTATCTAAAAAATATTGTCCTAATAATGTTATACATTTACACTATTCAACCACTGTACTATTACCAATCAAGCTTAATTTTCAACTGTTTTCTATTATAAAATCATCTTCTCCAACCGCTATCTTTAATTGCCTCAGTTACAACCGCTCAAAATTCTATAACCGCTTTATTGAAACAGAGTCACCAATCGGATCCAATAAATTTTGTGGTTAGATATTGATTTCTTATAATAAACTAGTAAAGTTATTTTGTTTTTCCTATGGGTGTGTTGGTTTTTTTGTTATTACATTCAATTCAATTCACTCAAAGAGGAATTATTTTGAATTGTTTGAAATTATTTCAGAAATAATAATTGTACTCTTTGTTTACTCAATTTTCATATAATAAAGTTTAAACTATGTATTATTATATCATTTTATAAATAATTATCTAAAAGAAATTGTACTAATAATTTTATACATTTACATTATTCAACCGTTATAATGCTACCAATTTCTGTTATAAAACTATCTTTTCTAATCACTATCTCTAATCGCTTTTTTCTAATTGTTTCTGTTATAATCGCTAAAAATTTTCTAACCACCTTATTTAAACGGAGTCACCAATCGAACCCGGTATAGATTATGATTGAAGTGTTTTGATTTGGTTTTGGTTTGATATTCGGTATAATATCATGTAAATGTCTAATGAATGAAAATCAAAAAGGATATTATTGTAATTTGAGTTGCATTTAAATGCTTAAAGGATCTTCGTTTTGGGGGGATAAAGATTTTATCTTTATTCATCTGAGATTCAAATTCAAACGGCAATTTCAGATCAGAGAAAGAATATGGAAAAGATCTGTGTAGCAGTCAGGGTGAGGCCGCCGGCGCCGGAATCATCACCGGAAAACGGATCTACTCTCTGGAAAGTCGAAGACAATCGGATCTCTCTCTACAAGTCACTCGACACCCCAATCTCAACCGCCTCTTACGCTTTCGGTATCAAATCTTCTCAAATATTCTGGGTTTCGATTTCTATTGATTTGGGGAGCTTCAAAATCTCATCTTTACAATCTTTGGTGGTGTGTTTTATATCTTCGCAGATCATGTGTTCGACGAAAGGTCTACGAATGCTAGTGTCTATGAACTTCTTACCAAGGACATCATTCATGCCGCCGTCGAGGGTTTCAATGGTAATTTAATCTGATCCAAAAATTTTGTGAGCTTACTTTTGTTTTTTCACGGTTTTGATTTATGGAGCTACTGTGAATTTTGTTTCAGGTACTGCATTTGCTTATGGGCAGACTAGTAGTGGAAAGACGTTTACCATGACTGGTTCTGAATCCGATCCAGGAATTATCCGAAGATCTGTCAGAGACGTATTCGATAGAATACATTTGGTAGGCCTCAGGTTTTAATTGCTGTTTGAAAGTATACAAAGAAAGAGTACAACTTTTAATTTATTTGTTTCATGTTCTTTCCTTTGTAGATATCTGATCGCGAGTTTCTCATCCGGGTTTCTTACATGGAGATTTACAACGAAGAAATCAATGATCTTTTAGCTGTTGAGAACCAGAGACTGCAAATTCATGAACATTTGGAGGTTGGTGTGGATTGGATCGTCTTCACAAGTGATGTTTTTGTCTTTTAGTTTTGTTTTATGAGTGATTAAACCCACTTGCTTCTCTTTGATGTACAGCGTGGAGTGTTTGTTGCGGGTCTAAAGGAAGAAATTGTTAGTGACGCTGAGCAGATTCTAAAGCTTATAGATTCTGGAGAAGGTTTTAAGCAAAAAAATAAACTAAGAAGCATTTTTTTGCTGCATTTTGATTATGTATAACGTGTATTGACATGGTCTTCTTCATTTGAAAGTTAATAGGCACTTTGGTGAGACAAACATGAACGTTCACAGTAGCAGGTCCCACACCATCTTCCGAATGGTACGGTTTTCAGAAGCTACGAATAGAAACTTCTACTGTTTTCAAGTATTTATTCTGATACAATGTCTCTGGTGGGATAGGTGATTGAGAGCAGGGGGAAAGAAAACGGTTCTTCAGATGCTATCCGTGTCTCAGTCTTGGTGAGTGATAATTTTCACTATGGCTAACATCTTTCAAAAGTTTCTTGCAAAAGTTAGATTATGTAGAAGCTGTTTTTCTCTACTTATGCATGCTCTTTTAATGGAATCTAGAATTTGGTTGACTTGGCTGGATCTGAGCGAATTGCTAAAACTGGTGCTGGTGGAGTACGCTTGACGGAAGGGAAGTACATTAATAAGAGCTTAATGATTCTTGGTAATGTCATCAATAAACTAAGTGAGAGTGCAAAGCTAAGGTATTTTCTTACCCTTGATTTGGTTACACGTAACAACGATACAGCTCGACTCATTTCTGACATTCTTGATTATAGGGCACATATTCCATATCGAGATAGTAAGCTGACTCGAATTCTTCAGCCTGCGCTTGGTGGTAATGCGAAGACCTGCATTATATGCACCATCGCTCCAGAAGAGGTAAAAGAATTTATTTTTTGGGTCAGGTTTTGCATTTTCCTGGCTTTTATAATCATCGGGAGCGCAAGCTAGTTGACTTACCAAAGGTCCATGATCATCTGTGTAGCATCATATTGAGGAATCAAAAGGAACTCTCCAATTTGCAAGCAGAGCCAAGCGCATCACCAACTGTGCTCAAGTGAATGAGGTCTTGCATTTGAAATTCTTTTGGTTTTTTGGAGAGATATATTACTCTCTTTTTTTTTCTAACTAAAAGCTGTTTTTTCTTCTCTTCGAAAAAAATCCTTGGCAACGTATGTCATGTTCACTGGTTTTCTTTCTCTTTATCGGAATAGAAACTGATAGTGTTTGAATGCTTCAGATCTTGACTGATGCTGCTTTACTGAAGCGCCAAAAGTTAGAGATAGAAGAGCTACGTATGAAGCTTCAGGTATACTCAAAATTTTAGTTCAATCACATCTTGGAATGGGGATAATACTAACATTAGTAATTTTTTGTAGGGATCTCATGCTGAAGTGTTGGAACAAGAGATATTAAAGTTAAGCAATCAGATGCTTAAGGTAGTTTTTTGGCGCTTCTTTCTTGTGTATGTATTGAATAGAACATAAAAAAAACATACCGTATACAAAACAGCTACCCTTTTGTTGGATTTCCAGTATGAGTTAGAATGTGAAAGGCTAAAATCACAACTGGAGGAAGAGAGAATGAAACAGAAGGAGCAGGAAAAATGCATCAAGGAGCAACAGTTGAAAATTGAGAACTTAAACAATTTTGTCACTAATTCAGACTTCAAGAGGAACCAGTCAGAGGTACGGATTCATTTATTGGCTTAGGATGTCCTGTTACCTATGCATGATGTTCCTCAACCATGAACCATTACACCCAGACATTTCTCTGAAGTAAACACAACCTTGAAAAGAAAAATAGGTTTTAGTTGAAATTCAATTGAAAAATACAAATTTTTGTGGTTGATGCAGATTGAATCAAAGATAGAAAACTCCTAACATCTCATTAGTTTTGTTAGAGAAGTTATTTATTGTTTTTAAGCTAATGTGATAGACTCATGTCTTATTTATGTAAAACTTTTGTTAATAGCATCTTTATTGGCAGGACTTTATCAGCTTAAGAAAGACTCCAGATGGGCTAGGCAATGTCAATGATAGCAGCGATGTTCTTGGGACCCCATGCTTTAAATCAGCTTCACATTCCTTTGTGGTTGCTCGGTCAAATTATTCAGCACTGTCTGATTTTAGTCCGATGGTTGATTCCCTGGGGGACGTGGCCGATGAAGACACTTGGACGAAACTGAACAAGGGTTTTGTCGCAGACCTTGATAAACTCCAGTTTACACCTGCAGTTAAAAGTCAACCCATTCCATTAACAATGGCAACCACGGTGAGTAGATACATTTACTTCACTCCAACTCCTATTATCTTCCAATAGTATAAATTATTTGTGCATGAAAAGCTATCAGAATCACATTAAATAGAGACTTCTGGATGCGTATTGTCAAAAATAATTATTAATTCGTTTTCCTGTTCACATTAGCTTGCATTCAAACACTCTTTTCTATTATAGACAGGCTGGCATCTAGCTCGTGTATGTTGATAATTACTGATTTTTAAACTTCATATATATGAATACCCAGAGATTATTCAAATTTATGCTACTTTTATGGTTTTCAACAACACTGTGGAGAGGAATTCAGTACCTAAAACGTGTGCCCTAAGCTGGCCATAATTGTTTTGTTAAATTTCATTTAGGAATGCAAGCGTGAAAATCACAAAGAGGTGGAAGATCTCAAAAGTCAGATCGATTTGCTGACCAATGAGAAGAACAGTCTGCAGGTTAGCCTTTATTGGTTTTGTTGGTTGCTCAAGTGAAGATGCTCTTTCGATTTTAGTTTGAGAGTTCTAAAATTTTTTGAAATGAAATGAAAGATATCATTGTTATTACTTCAACATCCTTCCTGTGCTATCTACTTGATTTACTTTTAGTGCTTTTTTTTCAAACTGCTTTTGATATGCTGGATACAACCTGATTCGGAGTTATAATGATCATTTATGCATCAATTGTGTATTCTCAGGTAAAATTCAACGAACAAGTACTTCTGAACAACAAACTGATGGAGGAGATGTCTGAGCTTAAACAAGAAACGCTTCACATTAAAGAAATTCCGAAACGGTTGTCTGAGTTGGTAGCTATTTGCAATGATATTTACAAGGATGTTATAGTCACAATGAAGGTGAACAACTTACTGTTTCTAATGTGATTTTGATTTTGAGATTATCAATAAAAAGAAACTTGAGTCAAGTGTTTTCCTCTTGCGATTTGTCAGAGCTTAATGGCTGAGAAGGATTCTCCAACAGCAAAGCTGCTCTTCGGTACAACTGAAATCGCAACGAGTCTTCTGTTAACTCTAGAATCACAATTCTCGATGATAATGGATGGTCAGAAGGCGGGTTGCGTAGAACATCCTTTATCTGATCAATGGGAAACACTTAGTGTGAAGCTGAAGAACACGACCACATCCTTGGTGTCAGACGCACAAGCAAAAGATGAAATTCTTCTTAACTGCCACAACAAGGTAGCTTCCTTGCCACAACTGTCAAGATACGGATCGGTTTTGTTTATATTTTCAGTACTTTTGCTAGGATACTTTGTCTCTCTTTTTAGGACTTTAGTCCAGTGAAACCTCTGAAAAATGGCGTGCTTTTTACGGTTTTTCCTGGTTATCTACATACACATCAATAGCAAGAACAGTTTGTTGCATACTAAGCCAAAGCTCCGAGTTTGGATTATAAGTTATAATTGTTTCTGTTTCCCATGACTTCAGCATAGTAACTCACAATAAACTAAGTCCACACCATTTAACAGTACAATATTGACATTTTAAGACGTTAAAAGTTAAACCAGACATGAAGTTTGAGTAAACTCATTTCTTTATCTTGTGGGAGGTTCGCTTGAATCTCTACATACCATGTTTCCACGGCAAAAAAAAACAGGAATTGATTCTTCTTTAGTTAATTAGATTCTGTGGTCAAGACTACTCTATTCTCCTCTCTAAGACAGGTTTTAAATGTGATTTTAAGGGACAAGAAACAGCTGCTTTGGAGGAGAAACTGAAGTCTGAGCTCAGCATCATCAAGGAAAGGTATAACGAACTGGAGAAAGAGTTGCGTTTGGATAAACAGCTTCTTGAAGCTTCAAGAGAAAGCCATGAGAGACTGGAAAAGGAAGTACAGTTTCTGAAGGAAGAACGAGATTCCTTGGATGCAGCAACTCAGAGATTGAGAGTGATTGCAAATGATAAAGAGAATGTTTTGAAAGATCTTAACGTGGAAGTGAAGAGAAGGAAAGAGATGGAGGAAGAGAATAAGAAAATCAGCTTCGCTTACGCTAGCAGGCAGAAATCTCTTATGTCTTTTCGCAATGAAATCAAATCCAAAATGCAGAAACTGACCACTCAAAATCCTAAATCTCAGTAGCAGAAGCAGCTATTTGTGTTTAAGTTTAAGCCATTGTAACAATTAGTTTATGTATTTCATTGATAAGAATAGCTGCTAATGGTTATCAATTACTTATTTACTACACAACTCGGCACTGTAACCTAAAGTTATTAAGGCACGGTTGTTCAATTTGGATAACCTGATCCAATCCGAGCTGAACCGAACCAAAATAATCGACCGAAATGGGTTTAAATGGATTCACTTTTTTCTATATCACAAAAATCTGAATCCGAATTTGAACTGAATCGGGAAAAAGTGTCGATCTTAAAAAAAAAATTCTTTGGAAATAACGGATATATTTGATTTGACTAGAATCCGAACAGAAACAAAAACCTGAAAAAAACTGAACCGATATCCGGTCTGAACATCAAAAGCTTCCTTCGGTTTTGCTGTATTCTTGATAAACTAAAAAAAAACGTAGACGGCAGGATTCGAACCTGCGCGGGCAAAGCCCACATGATTTCTAGTCATGCCCGATAACCACTCCGGCACGTCTACTTTTTGCTTAAGAATTTTAATATTAAAACTTTATAGAATAGAATTGTTGTTGAAATTAGAATGGGCTTAGTTAAGCCCAACTTTGATGAAGACAGATTAATGAAAAACTCTTACGATACAGAAATACAGACACTAACCTTAAAATGGTAATAAACGAGGAAGTCGAGAGTCAACGGTCAGAGCGTTGACCAAATCTCTCACTCTCACCAGCCAAATCTCTCTCTCTCTCTCTCCGCCCGAATCTCACCGGCGATCATCTCTCTGCCTCACCGACGAATCTGATTTGTCCCTAACACTCACTCACCGGGTAAGCTCTCTGCAAATTCCGATCATTCCAGCTCAATTTCAACATCGATCAAAATTCATTCTTTGTTCCTCCTCAAATTTGAGAAGCTTTTGATGATTAGTAATTGTAGTGATCTGAAACAGTAATTTCGTTAATTCACCATTAACAGATTAAATTTGAGCTTACAGAACCTTATTATCAAAGAGGGATCAAAATTAAAAATTTGATCTTTCACCTTTACAGAGCAAATCTAATATTTCCAAGTAGTGTGATCCTAGTTCAATATTGTGATCTTGATAGTCATTTTCAAATCTTGGGAGTGTTATAAAACTTGTTAAATCTGTTATTAGATGCACAATTTCGAAAAAGTTTCGATTTTTTTTTGGGGGGTCCAATTTAGGAAGAAAAATGGCGACTCCGGTTGATCCACCAAATGGGATTAGGAATCAAGGGAAGCATTACTTCTCAATGTGGCAAACACTCTTCGAGATCGATACCAAATACGTACCGATCAAACCCATAGGCAGAGGCGCATACGGTGTAGTCTGCTCATCGGTTAACAGAGAGAGAAACGAGAAAGTGGCGATCAAGAAGATACACAATGTGTTTGAGAACAGGATCGATGCGTTGAGGACACTACGTGAACTCAAGCTCCTACGCCATCTTCGACATGAGAATGTGATTTCTCTTAAAGATGTTATGATGGCTAATCATAAGAGAAGCTTTAAAGATGTGTACCTTGTTTATGAGCTCATGGACACTGATCTTCACCAGATTATCAAGTCTTCTCAAGTGTTAAGTAATGACCATTGCCAATACTTCTTGTTCCAGGTATGCGGATTTGCGCGTTCTGTTTTCATTGTTTCTTGCTTTGGTCTCAGTTTAATATCAAGAATGTCAGTTCTAGCTGGATCTCAATTGTTTGTTTGCATTTCCTTTAATGTTACAATCATAAGATACAATTATATATTTTTATAGTGTTAACATTAACATAATGCTAACATTTAAACTTTCCCATACACATAAAATGAAATATGCTATAAGAATATATCAAGATCTAGAGAATTTTTCTTTCAAATTTCACGGGTTTCACTTTGTAGTCGGGCTTTGATAGACCACAATACTTGATTCGCAAGATACACATCTTGCTTTTCAAAGTTATCTCCAATATTTTTAGTGTATAGAAACTTAAAAAGTTTCCGGCCTAGGTTACTTATTGCTTTGTTTCTTTTGTGTAGTTGCTTCGAGGGCTCAAGTATATTCATTCAGCCAACATTCTCCATCGAGATTTGAAACCTGGTAACCTCCTTGTGAACGCAAACTGCGACTTAAAGATATGCGATTTTGGTCTAGCACGCACTAGCAACACCAAAGGTCAGTTCATGACTGAATATGTTGTAACTAGATGGTACAGAGCACCAGAGCTTCTCCTCTGTTGTGACAACTACGGAACCTCCATTGATGTTTGGTCAGTAGGTTGCATATTCGCCGAGCTTCTTGGAAGAAAACCGATATTCCCTGGAACAGAATGTCTTAACCAGATTAAACTCATCATTAACATTCTTGGGAGCCAGAGAGAAGAAGATCTCGAGTTTATAGATAACCCTAAAGCCAAAAGATACATTGAATCTCTCCCTTACTCACCAGGGATATCATTCTCGCGTCTTTACCCTGGCGCGCACGTTTTAGCCATTGATCTACTTCAGAGAATGCTTGTTCTTGATCCTTCGAGGAGGATTAGTGTCACGGAAGCGCTTCAGCATCCTTACATGGCTCCTTTATATGATCCGAATGCGAATCCTCCTGCTCAAGTTCCTATTGATCTCGATGTAGACGAAGATGAGGATTTGGGGGCAGAGATGATAAGAGAGTTGATGTGGAAGGAAATGGTTCATTATCATCCAGAAGCTTCTACCATGAACAACACTCAGCTCTGAGCTCAAGTCTTTTAAAAGTGATTTTCAAAGAGATCTTTCAAAATACTTTTTGTATTTTATTTCGTGTTTGCTTCTTTCTTACAATGTTTTGTTAATAATAGTGTCGAAGAAGAAAAACTGCAACTTATAAATTACGTGATTTGTTATTGAATTATGGATGCTCTGTTTTGTTTTTTCTGGTTACACGCTAATGCGTCTGTAACGTTTTGTACATACGAGTTCTTACTTCTTACTTCTACTTTGTATTTCCCCTTGAAAGTTCATGTTCAAATCATTTATATTTGATTGAATACAAGTTGAAGAAAATATAGTAATATACATGTTGCCAAAAATATATACGTAACATGTAGCAACACTATTTTTGAGAAAATCAATTACTCCCTCTGTTCCTAAATAAATGATGTTTTAGTATTTTCACACTTATTAAAAAGCAATAAATAAAACATATATGTAAATATGTAGCAACACTGTTTGAGAAAATTAGTTATTTTATTTTTACTATTAAAAGAAAAGCATATTTTATGTCCAAACAAGTTTTACTTAGTTATCTACTATTCTGTTTTTGGATAACTCTTATTTACGTTATCAAACAAGTCAATTTAATGTAATATTAATAAATAATATATTTTTAATTTATATTTCAAAATTAAATTTTAATTTAGATTTTTTATAAATTTCTTTAAATATAAGTTATATTAATTATTAAAAAGTTAAAAAAATTTATTATTATATTTTTACAAAAATAATAAATCGAATATTAATTTAAATTTAATTTAAATATTTAAATTTAAATAATATTTTTAATAAAAAAGATGAAAATAATATATTATTGTATATTTTAAAATATGAATGGATGAATTATAATTATGTCTTAAAAATCGAGATCTTTTTTGAATTAATATAAATGGATATGTTATAATAATGTTTTTTATAATCGTTATACTTTTCGGATTTAATATGAACGAATATGTTAGAATAATGTTTTTTTAATCGCGGTCATATATATACTAAATTAAATAAATTAATAGAAACAAATTATATATAAACAGAAAAAAATATTTATTACTTATCAGAAAATTATATCTAAATAAAAACAAAAACACAAATTATATTACAAAATTTAATAAATTATAAATAGTTTTTATGTGGATGCACTGAATAGAATCTAATATTTTTTATAGTAAGTAAAACGTATAAATAGTGGAATTTCTGATACCAGTATATCAAAAACAGTCGTTCTCCCTAATAATTTCCAATGTTGCATCGAATGTTCCAATATAAAAGGATTTTTTTACTTTCTCACCTAATCCTGAATTCTAACTTGCTCCTTAAGCTGCGTTCAAATTCATGGATTGTACATTGTAGGCTAGTAGCTTCTTTTTCGTTTGTTGTTTTAGTACCTAATCAATTGTATATTTGTATTTAAGTAATTTCCACCAAATCATTTGTCTTTTTTAATTAATTAATACAAGATTAAATCGGTAGTAAAAATCATTTTACGGCTGTATGATATAAGTATATAACTTAACGTTTTTTATCATCTAGCATTTCATTTGTGTGAACTCGTTAGGTTTTTAAACCTATTTTCAACTATTATTTGCTTTGGATCTAAATGATAAAGTCCACACACATTTATTTTTGGTTTCATTTTCAAAAAACTTCATACTAATTACTTTTGACCATTGCTCATATATTAAATATTTTTTTATCTAAGCTTCGAATGTAAGATCTTGGATTGATTTCCAACAACTTGTATTATTAAAAAAGTAGCAATAGTATTTCGTAATTTGCATCAGAAATTTAAAGTTAAATCTCAATAACTTATGTAATTTGATTATTTGACAACACTGTCAAGGCAGAGGTTAAATCATTTACAAACATAAAGAGATTTCTACCATATCTATCTATTTGCTGAGAGGTTTTTTTCAATAAAAATTATTGCTTTTAACATAAAGTTCATGCCAGTAAATCTATATGCGTGTTTTTTTAACAAAAATAAAACATCCCATTTTGATTTAACGACTCTGTTAACAAAAAAAGTTAAATATTAAAAAAACTTACTGAAGAAACATACAAGTTGAGAAGTTTGTACCTGATTCATTTTTAGTCGACGGAGTTTGCCATTAAAACTCTAATAAAACATATACATAGTATAATTCCAATTTTGAATATATCCAATGTTTTTTTTTCTCAGAATCAGTTCTTTTCCCTATTAATTTTCAACAATGCATCGAATGTTCCAATGTTTTGTAGATTTAAAAAAATGATTTTGTTGACCCTTAAGCTCCGTGCAAATTCATGGATTGTACATTGTACAGGCTTGTAGCTTATTTTATTATTATTTTAAATACCTAATTATTTGTATTGACTTTGTTTTTTTTTTGCTAAAAATATTGACTTTGTTTTTCACCAAATCAGTTAGAGTTGTCTGAGCATTTCATTTGTATTATTGAAAACAAAAAAGTAGCAATAGTATTTCGTAATGTGCCTAATAAATCTAAATTTTAAAAGAAACCTATAAACATTTTTCTGCATTGGCATATTTAATCCATTAAGTGTTGTCATTAATATTGAGCACCATTACTCATTCATTACTTTACTAGTAGCTAATCATATATATTTAAGGTTAGTAATTAGCAACATGTACTAATTTACATGGATTTTTTTTGTGTTCGGTAATCTTTTTTTTTATATACTTGCATATGACTTAATTTGTGGAAATTTTTTCTGAAACCGTGTATGCATAAGAATCTTTTACTTAAAAAAAAAAAAGAGTACGAGTGCGCCAATGAAGTTAAACTAATTGATGAGATCATTGTACTGAAAAAATTATAGAATGAAGAGATAAAGATTCTAGAAGAACATGTCAAGTCTTGAAATTGCAAGTCATGGAATCCTTATCATTATGTCTAATTAGTTCTATACTTCTATGTTTATCTTTTATGTCATTAGGTCGTCTTTATACTATTCCACCTTAACAATTCGTTACGTACGTATCAGTCATATTAATTACGGTTAGAGTGTAATTTGTTTGATTATACTAATAAACATATAACTAATGATGAAGCATTTCTTGTTGACTTTTAGATCGTTATCGAGAAACTTTTATTCAAAACTGTTATCCAAACTTATAACTAATTTGAGAAAAAAGATAACAAAATTTTAGTATAGTTCTAACTAATTCGATCACTTTCAAAAAAAATATATCTTAATACTTTCAAATTGCCTTAACTGCAGAAATTCATCATATACACTTAATGCCTCAGCTACTAAAATTACGATGCGTTCGTATTCGGAGAGGAAGAAAAACAGGATTGTTTTGTAGTCCGGCCGCAACAAACTGCTATTAATTGCTATCTCATTAAAAATGATGCATGTATCTTTGAGTGAATATAAATACTAGTATTAATACTAAACAGAGGGTGCCAATTGCCACATAAGATATTAGACAAAACACGTATAGTAGTTGTCACATGTGCATTAATGATCGAGAAAATAAGCCACAAAAAATCATGTGAACAGTAATGATATCAAGTTTTCATGCTAATCATGTTTTAGAGCTAACTTAACTGACCTAACGTGGGTTTAAACAAGGTTTTCATCACCCAATTTTTGGCAAAACTGTTCAAACAATGAAATAATTTGGCAAAAGAGTAAATATTTGTTTATATTAACATGCTTTAACGGAATCTCCAATTGCATAGTTTTATTTAGATTATAAGGTTTAAAAACTTCCCTTAAAAAAAGTTGCCAAAAAACAGATTCAAAACAAATTGCTAAAAAAATATCGATACGTACCATCAAATTATGAAACTATAAATACTTGTGATGAAGACTTTTCACTAGATTTTGCTTTTTCCAAAGCCAATAATACTATTTTTTTTTTTGAAACAATAATATTTTTTTTTCTTGAACTTCTGCCGCAAGAAAGTCAAACAATAAGACCAACATTATACACATACGCCATGATGTCCATTTGTTCGTGGAAACTTCTTTCTTTATCCACACATAATAAGAAAATTATCAAAAGATTATATAAAATTCTAGACCCTGAGACTTGACCAAGTTATAACGCTTCATTTCATCAGATCCGGTCAAAATCTTAAACCAATATTTTTAATATTTACAAACGATATTGTTGTTATCGGTTTAATAAAAAATAATATTCTTGTCGCGTCAAGCCTTTTTAAATTTAATACAAATCCCGTATATTAGTACTGAGGTCGTCTCTCTTGTCTGTAAAACATATCCTCAATAACCCAAAAAAACAAAGCCAAAAAAACCTTGAAACTCTCCTAATCTCACAATTAAAGAAACCAAAAGATCATCGATTGAAACAAAAATGGTGAGCCCATTTAGATCTCCTTGTTCTTCGCCAAGAAGATCAAGAAAAGAGAGCAAGAACCCTTATTCAAATCGTGGACTTGACAAATTCTCGGAGCTTCTCTCAGAGCTTGACGAGAAGAGACAAAGTATCTACTCCAAGAAGCTCGATTCCGATGGCCCGCCTCTTGTCCGATTCGTGTTCACAAGCTCTGGTGAGTGTGTCCCCGTCGTGATCAAATCATCTTATCTTCATAAACAGAAGAAGACCAAAGATGTTGCTGCTGCTAAAGTCAAACCAGTGGTCAACGAATCTAAAACAGAGGAAACGAAGAAAACAGAGCCTGAAGCAGAGCAGAAACAAAGCTGCGTTTTGGAGGAGAACCTGAAGAAGATCACGAGACCGAATCATTTCTTGCCCGTGACTGTGATCTTGGTTCTTGTTTTCTTGGTTTTCTTTGGAAGATCTGTTGCGATTATGTGCACTTGTATCGCTTGGTACTTGGTTCCGACGATCAAGGAACAAAGCGGAAACAGAGGATCTTCGTTGTCTTACACGATGAAGAAGAGAGATTTTGCTAGGAAATTAAGTATTGAAAATAGAGCATCGTTTAATCCAAGAACTATTCGTGATCATTCTCCTCCTCTCAAGTAGAATTTTCGTTTCTTGGCTGCTCGTGAAAAAACCGCGTGATCCAGAAAAAACGTTTTTTTTTCTCTGTGGGAAAGTTCTTTTGTTTATTTCTTGTTAGTTTTTGTTTGTTTATTCTCTGTTTCTTTCATAGTTGTTAATTTTTAGACAGCTGAATTAGCAGAAAATTGTGTATCTCTTTCTCTTTATTTTTTTTTCTTCTTAAGGGTTTAATGTTTATAAATGTGTATATATGCAATTGGAATTTGTTCTTGGTGACAGATTATCTACTGAAACATAGCTTGAACATCTATATCAAAATCTTATATATAAAAGTTGCTCAACTCTTTCCACATCAGCATTTTAGAGTAAATATGTGAATGACATGTGTCATATTTTAAAGAAAATTAATTAATAAATTTTAATATTAAATGTTAAACCACTCAAAGAAAATGAAAAGTTTTTTTTTATTAATTGATTCTTAAATAACATTTATGTAAATATTACAACAAAAATTTATGTTAAAAAAAAATTAAGAATTAGTGTTTTTAAAAATAATTTTTTTTATTTTTAATAATATTATATTTTAATTTAATTGATTCATAATAATATACTAACACATAACAAATGATAAATATATATTTTTCAAAAAATATAAAATATATAAATTTAAAATAATTGAATAAACTCATTTAAAATGAATGTTTTTAAAAATAAAATTAATTAAAAATTTTAATATTAAATTTTAAACTATTAAAAAAATAAAAAGATATTTATTAATTGATTCTTAAATAACATTTATGTAAGTATTTAACAATAAATTATGTTATAATTAATTAAAAATATTGATGAATATATTTTTGATATAAAATCTTGATTTTTTTTTAATGATATTACATTTCAAATTGATTGATTAATAATATATTATCATATAACAAATGATAATTATATATTTTTTTAAAAAGTATAAAAATATATAAATTTTAAATAGGTAAAGAAAAAAACCTGCACGTTACGTGTAGATATTCACCTAGTAATACTAATATTATATTAATTTATTGAATTGATAATATAAAAAAAAAATCTCAATTGTTTTAGAGCATCAGACCACCTCCAAGAGCCTCTTCAGGGTTCTAATCATTATTTTTAATAGTTATATTCTTATTTTTTGTTTTAGAACCTTTAGTAGATTCTTTCAAAATTTTATGGTCCAATGGTAGGATACGAAGAAGTGAGGTTCTAAAAATTTTTTTTTTTTTTTATGTATTATTACTTACATAGCCAATAATCATTGTCTGGTTATTTGAGAATCATTGTCTGGTTATTTGAGAAAGACGTGTTTTTATAATCAATCGAGTCTTATAAACACATGCAATGAATGTATTTTCAAGGTGAATCAGAGCCTAACCATAGTCTTGTTGTTGTTCTCAGCCTTTGTGTCATTGCTTGCTTTTGCTTCTTTCTTTGGTTTTGGAGATAACAACTCAATCTTCTTCATGCTCTTCTTCTGCAATTGCTCTGTAACCTTCATTGGTTTCATAAATCCAATCAGAGTAAGAACAACAACATGATCTGCTCTTACTGTTTCAACACCTGAAACAATTACAAAAGAGAGAGTGTTGAAGCAAATCAATTGCAATTTTTTGTGTTAAGGTCCTACGAAAAGATATTCTTAGATTCCTGGAAAATCCTAAACAGAGATCACTCATGAAACAAAGACGCACAAATCCAAAAACACTAGAAATCAACTTCCTCACAATTGCTGCGTTTAAATGACGGAAACAGAGCTCCGATTCTGTAATTAGATCCAGGAAAAAAGGAAATCAGAAACTCATAAACCATTGAAGGTTTTGGAATGCTCGATCGTGATGGGAAAAATCAAGCGCAGAGGAAAACAGACGAGACATAAAACATGACGCGATCAATATTGAAGATTTCTTAGGGATACTCGATTTTGATGTTCTAAAGTTTGATGAGAAATCGGACCTTCTAAGCGACGAGCTAAAGTGACGATTCTCGCGATACAACCATCGCAATGCAAATCGACGCTGAGAACGACGGTGACGTATATGACCGGCGACGTATCCTGTCCCTTCTTCTTCTCTGCATGTCCTTGCTCATAGTCATGCACCATTTCCGTCTCCATCTTCTTCTGCGAACATCAAAAACCGGAAAAAAAACTCAAAAAAAAATCTCATGAATCAGAAGGAAAAAAATCAAAAATCTTTGACGCATTTGATGAATCGATGGAGAGCAAGAAAGAGAGAGAGAGAGAGAGCGAGTTTGGGAGTGGCTGAAACCTGAATCAATCGCCTTTGCATGTCTTCGATATCTCCGGTGCCTTGAGTAGTCGCCGCCGCCATCGACTCGCCACCGGAGCTTGTGTCGGAGAGCAATCGCCATGTCTTTGATATCACCAAAAGAAATGTCAAAGGAGAGAAGATAGAATCTCGAAGCCTCTGGTTTAACCAGAGTGTCTTATTAAAAAAACAAAAAAAAGTTAAAAACATCCGACCAATCAATAAACGCCACGTATAAGGCTCAAAAGAGGTTCTGCAAACTATAAAGTAAGAACTGTCTCTGTTTAATAATGCCATTTAAATCTTTTTAATTATAATTACCTTAAAGAATCCCTACTGATGCTATGGTTGGAGCTGTTCTCAGCAACCCAAAAACCCTCATAAGTCTCTTATTCAATATTTTAATATTATTATTGGATTAGACACTTACTTAAGAAATCTAAGCAATTTGAAAGATGCATTGGTAGAAACCTTAAAAATCCAATTCTGCTTTTAAAAGTCAAAACTCTTGATTTTTGCGAAAGATGCTCAGCATCTCCAAGCTCGACTTCACAGCCTTTTGTTTCCAGCCTGACCTGAAACATCACACTACAAGAAAACAATCGTTTTCCAACGGTCCATTACGACGGTTTTTAAATCGTTGCAAATTGACAACGATTTTACGACGATCTAATGTCTAATTTAAAAACCGTCGTAAAACCGTCGTATAAAAAAATCGTCGTAAACTCGACGTACAATTTACGACGAATTACGACAATTATACATCGATAACGAGAGATTTGCTAGTAAATATAAAACCATCGTAAATTCGTCGCAAAATTACGACGAATATACGACGACTACATTTCGATGTACATATTACGACGATTTTACGTCGAAAAAGGAGTTAGGTGAAAAACATTTAAAACATGTTTATCTAACAATTGTAGATGAAAAATTTTATCGCAAAATCGTCGTAAACTCGTCATAATATTATTGTTGAATGTAAAACCGTCGTAAAAAGTCGTCGTAAAAGCGTTGTAAAGCCCGAAATTTTCCTATAAATAGATCTTCATTCCTTCATTCAATCGCAACACATCATCATTCAAACATAAGAGCATCTTCATCTTGGAGACCCATTGTAGGTCTCTTAAATTTTAGTATAGTGTTGTAAATCCTTATATATTGGGTTGTCCATTGCCGGAAACCCGAATTAAGAGTTATATTACTTTGAAAAAAAGAAGTAATAATATTATAAGGTTAATTTACTCTATTCATGTGGCTAGACGTGACACAAGAGACCATCTCCTTTATTGTCTAATCAATAAAAAGAGATAGTATTGTGAGTTTATTTTCAAGATGTCTATATACGAGCTAAGAAGTTGGATGTATATGCGTAAAGATTCAGATGGGGCGTTGACAGAAGAGTTCAAGAACGGGTTAGAAATATTTATGTATCAGGCTACAAATATGGAGAGAACGAAAGATAGTGGGAAGATGTTTTGTCCTTGTTTGAAATGCAAGAATACGAGGTATACACTAACCAAAACTGTGTGGACGCATTTATTAAATAGAGGGTTTATGCCGCAATATTTTGTTTGGTATCTACATGGAGAAGGATATGGCAGTAATACTGGGAATGCTGGTAGTAGTAGTAATTATCAAAGTCATGTTGATATTGATGAATCGAATTATGGTCATCAGCCTAATCAGTATCAATATGACCAAAGTGTAGATCATGATAGGATGCACGAAATGGTGACTGATGCATTTCATGAAACGCATACGGGTAATGATATTGAGGAACCTAATGTAGATGCCAAACGATTTTATGATTTGTTAGACAATGCTAATCAGCCAATCTACGAAGGATGTAGAGAAGGCTTGTCTAAATTATCGTTGGCAGCTAGGATGATGTCAATTAAAACATATCATAACCTGGCTGAGGTTTGCATGGATGATTGGGCTGATCTTCTGAAGGAGTATCTACCAGAGGATAACTTGGCAGCGGGAACATACTATGAAATTCAGAAGTTGATTTTTAGTCTTGGTCTACCTTCTGAGATGATAGATGTATGTGTTGACAATTGTATGATTTTTTGGAAAGATGATGATCAGCTGGAGGAATGTCGATTTTGCCAAAAACCAAGATACAGGCCGCAAACTGGTGGGCGTAAAAGGATACCGTACCAACGTATATTGTATCTCCCTATAACTGATAGGTTAAAACGGTTTTATCAATCTGAAAGGACAGCTGCTTCAATGAGATGGCATGCGGAACATACACAAGTAGATGGAGAAGTTGTTCATCCATCAGATGCAAAGGCATGGAAACACTTCAATATGGTATACCCAGATTTTGCTAAGTTCAAACGGAATGTCTATCTTGGTCTGTGCACTGATGGTTTTAGTCCATTTGGTATGTCTGGTAGACAATATTCATTATGGCCAGTAATCCTAACTCCTTATAACCTTCCTCCAGATTTGTGCATGCAAAGGGAATTTCTTTTCCTAAGTATTTTGGTTCCAGGTCCAAATCATCCGAAGCGAGCTCTCGATGTATTTCTTCAGCCACTCATACATGAGTTGAATCAGTTATGGTATACTGGCGTTCGTACATATGACTGTTCTACGAGGAAAAATTTTACTATGCGGGCTGTGCTAATGTGGACAATAAGCGATTTCCCCGCTTATGGTATGCTATCAGGATGGACTACGCATGGGAGGCTATCTTGTCCTTATTGTCTTCATCGAACTGATGCGTTTCAGCTAAAACATGGTAGAAAAACTTCATACTATTTTGCGCCGAAAGTACGAACACGCAAAAGAGCTACTCGTCGATATGATGATGGAGGAGTTGGCCATACATATGCCGTTGAAGGTGTACCTGACATATTCTTGCCGATTGGACGTCTTAGTGGAAAACTAAAAGATGTTTGGTGGTCCAATGAAAAAGATTATCATAGTGCACATACGTATATCCTGTTAAATTGTGAAGAGTTGTCATCGTATGAAAGGTACCTTTTAATTTAATTAATAATATCTTTTTTAAAGTTGTCAGTATTAATAACTATTTGTTGTTTTTCTCAGCACATTTGTTGATGAGGTTAAAGAATGCATATCTGGGGTTTCTGAAACTGAAATCAATGATCGTAAAGATCAACACTATGCCCAGTGGTTAAAAGGACAAGTACGTTTAAAATTTTAATTAAAAGACTACTTTAATTTGCTATATATCGAAATCAAGAAATAAAAGCAGAATTTTTTTCATATTAGGTGGACCCGAATGATCCGGATGAATTTCCAACATGGTTCCATGAGTTACTACTAGGTCCGATGGCCAAAATAACTACAGCCTCAATGTATTTCACTCGGGGCTATGTTTTTCACACATACCGTCACGGTGCAAAGCGGGCGACAACTAACTATGGAGTTTGCGTGAGGGGTGAAATCGATTTTTATGGAATTGTGCAAGAAATAATTGAAGTAGAGTATCCTGGATTGTTAAGGCTGAAAACTGTTCTCTTCAAATGTGATTGGTTTGATCCAACTGTTGGACGAGGGGTATGTCTAAACAAGTTTGGAGTTGTTGACGTGAACAAATCACGACGGTACAACAGGTTTGAGCCATTTATATTAGCTTCTCAAGCAGAACAGGTAACGTTTCTGCCATACCCTCGAGTTCGATCAACAAGAATTTCATGGTTAGCAGTAGTTAAAGTGGCTCCGAAGGGCAAGATTGTAGGGGTTGAGGATGTTCCACTTCAACATGACACTTGCGTAGATCTGTCTGAACCAGATGTTGATGAGGAGATTTCCTTAATAGACCCTCGGAACAGGCAAGTTGAAGATCTTCCCGATGATACAGAAAAAGAAGGTGATGATGAGTTTGCTGAAACCGATGATGACGATTTGGCGGAAGAAGACGACGGTGATGGTGATGAAGTAATAGAGGAAGATGCATCTGATTGAGTATCATGCATTGTATTTAGTGAATGTTTGTTATTATGTAATTTGTAACTTTGTTTGTTTGAATTTTTTAAAAACCCTAAAATTCGATTTTACGACGGTTTTACGACGGTTTTTCTAAACCCTAAACCCTAAGTCTAGGTTTTAAGCTCTGAATGAATAGGGTTTCAACATTACAACGTCTTTACGACGAACCATCGTAATATCGTCGTAAAGTTACGACGATTTTACGATGCGTACACTATTTCGTCGTAAAATCGTCGTAATGTTGAAATCCAAGAATTTGAATCTTTTATATCTTATTGGTTGTAAGGTATTTCACAAATGTTTTTGATTGGTTATCTTATTTTATATGAAATGCTATCAATCTGATCAAAATCAAAAATTTGAAAAAAAACATACATATTTACAAGTTCATGCTTGTTTTCGTAAATGTTAAGTGAAAAGTTATATATTAGATTACGGAATTTCAATTTTTACTATCTCATGTCATAAATCCATCATACATGCAAAGTTGTAAACCTTTTGTTATATGTTAGGATACAATAACCTTTGCATTGTTCTTTATGCAATATCCCATTTATAAGATTTAGGGTTTACTCACTTTTTAAAAAAACATCGTAAAACCGTCATAATATAATCGTAAATGTACGACGGTTTTACAACGATTAAACCCAAAACCGTCGTAACGTTTGCACCGGATAGGCTCTTGATCCGAGGCACGAGGTTATGAATGTTTAGGCGTTACGACGATCTTACGACAGTTTTGGGTTTAGTCGTCGTAAAACCGTCGTAACGGTCAAATGCTCCCATCACGACACGTGTCATGTCATGCAGTGGATCGACTGTTATACAACCGAATCGTTGTAAAATCGTCGTAATGTTACGACGATTTTACGACGATCACAAAATCTATATAAGGGATGCGAGATTTCCTCCTTCGTCGCTCATTCCTCTCTTCCCTCTCTCTCTCTAGAAATCTCTCTATCTCTCTAGAAATCTATCTCTCCCTACTCTCCAGCCAATTAATTTGTAAGTATTTTTGTTAAATTAATTTCATTACATATTATTTTAGATTTAGGTTCGAAATTTAGATTTAGGTTCAGAATTTAGATTTAGGTTTCGAAATTTAGTTAGGCCCGGATTTTGGTAAATTTAAATAAATATTTGAAAAATTAGTAACTAATT